TGACCCGGTTAAAAAAATTGATTGCTTTTATTTTATAAAAACAAATACAATTTTCAAGTTAAATCGTTTTTAATAAATTGTGATTCATGCTACTATAGTTTTGTAGGTGTCACTGTTATTGCTTTATATTGCCGTTATAGTTGCTATATTCTTGTAAACCGTGAGATCTTGATCTAATAGTGATTTAATGTTAAGTTATAGATATTTGATTGTTGTAAGAAATATATTTAAATACATCGTTTCTAAATCGTGATTTGAAGTTATAACAAAGTAAAGAAAAAAAGGAATATATATAACATGCGGTGCGGTGCGATTTGAACCGCGGTTTTATAAATACAAACCGCAAACCACACCGCAAGTGCGGTTTGATAAAATGACGAACCACAAACCGCACCACGAAATTCTAAACCGCATTATGCGGTGCGGGCGGTTTGTGCGGTTTTTTGCACACCCCTAATTGATACTATAACTATATTGTTTTCTACTTGTATCCCCCCCCCCCATAAAAGCATTTAAAATCATTTAAAAGATAAGTTTAGGGGTATGAACTCACCTATAGTGAGTGATTCGAATGTAAGATCGATTAGGATGCTAAGTATGCCAAGTGAAGTCTCGAGCACAAACGGATCCTATTAAGCATATAATGACACATATATGTATATAATTAGTGTATATAACAACTAATCATGAAAGGGAACAACCTTTTGTTCTAGGAAACACTTGGAATGAAGTGTTACAATCACATATGATTGTATGAAAGGGTGTTCATGGCCACACAAGGATGTGTTCACGGCCAAGGGTGTTCACGGCCAAGGAGTTTACAGCCAAGGAGTGTTCACGGCCAAGGAGTTTACGACCACACATGAACTAAGAAGGGTTTACGGCCATGGGTTGAAGGGTTCACGGCCACCATGATCTTATGAAGGGTTTACGACCACTTGAAGGGTTTACGGTCGTACACTCTTGAAGATCAAGCATAAAGTGGTTGATTATTGGCTGGAATTCAAGAGCTTCTAATGGATATCAAGTATATGGAAAGGATACTTATGTTTTGGAAGCTTATAGGGTGATTACGGCCCAAAGAACAAGTGTGTGTTCTTGGTGATTTGAAGATCTAAAACCAAAAGAGATGAATTCATGGATGAAATCATAGGGTTTTACTTGAATAAGAAGGGTATCAAGAAATAATGGAAGGATCACTTACAACTTTGAAGAGAAATGGAAGTGTTCTTGATGATACTTGAGAGAGAAATGAGAGTTCTTGACTTGAAGTTGTGAGAAATGAAGAAAAATGAAGGATCTTCATACATATGAAGAAGGGTTCACGACCAACATGGGTTTACGGCCGTAAACCCTAGTTTGCGGCCGTGAACTCCTTGTGAAGGTGGTTCCGGCTCAATTGCAACTCAATGAACTCAATTAAATACCTCCTAACCCCCAATCCTTGAGTGTACTAGGCTTTGAACTCTCAAACAGACCCTTAACAAAGTTAAAAGTCAACATAAACAAGTCTGACTTTTGATTGAATTGAATGGCTTTACAAGATAGAAATTTCGGGTTGTCACAGTAACGAACTTGTTGAAAGTGTTCACATCTAGGATGTAATCTGCTACAGCCGGTCATAATGTTCATTTGTGAACCCTTCCAAAAACTTTGTTACCTAGATGTGTACCAAAAAAATAGTTACTCAGATGTGAACTTACTAAAAAGTTAATTACCTTCCCAAGTCATTTTCCCTTTTTAATTTTAAGTTAATGACTTGCCATGACAAACCAATCTTTTCAAATAGCAAAATCTTGGAAAGGCATGACAAAGGTGATATGGACATACAATTATCATATTATAAAAACATCATAACAAAGTTGATACCACACCCTCCGTCCTTAACACGACTAGATATATTGGAAAATTGGATTTTGTTTTTTATAACATAACAACCCAATATCATAACTCTTTAAAAAAAAGGATCAATAACTTAACTCCTTAAAAAAAAGACAATCTTGTATAGAAATCAGGTCGTGTCTTTTATAGATGAAACCTCCCTTTGCAATAATCATGAGCTGAGTGTGAAATGTTAAAACGAGTTTACGTTTTTACCACTAAGATTGTTGTGTGCTACATTCATGACTTACTAAATTTAAGATTTCGGTATGTTTGGCAGCATTCCCACACGCCACAGGCAACATAAATCTTGTGCTATCTCATATGCGACAACCATGACATATGTCCCACAAACAAACCAACTCAAAACACCCTTTCACATAATGCAAATCCATTTTCCCAAAACACCCAATAAATAATATATATATATATATATATATATATATATATATATATATATATATATATATATATATATTAAATCACTTCCATCAATATTATTATACAAGTTTATTACTCCCATCAACAAAAAAAACCACTCTCTTTGTAGCTTCTCACACCAAAAAACCCTACCCAACCTCTCACAACATTTATGTGTTAATCTTTCCCTTTTCTTTCATATAACCACACGCCCTAATTATCTCCTCAAGTGTCTCCAAAACCCCACACTTCCTTCCTTCAATCCCTCCACCATGGCCGACACACATCGGGATCCACCACCTTCAGACACCCGTCGAGGAGCCGGAAAACGAACCGCCACCACCGCCCCATTTGAAACAGCAACATCCGAATCGGGCTCAATCCCAAACCCTCCTTGTGGGGCATGCAAATTCTTAAGAAGAAAATGCGTCAACGGGTGCATCTTCGCACCCTACTTTGGGTCCGACCAGGGTGCTGCCCGGTTCGCAGCAGTGCATAAGGTGTTTGGCGCCAGCAACGTGTCCAAACTCCTTATGCACATTCCGGTGAACCGGCGGCAACATGCAGTCGTGACCATCTCTTACGAGGCCCAGGCCCGCTTGTCGGACCCGGTCTACGGTTGTGTTTCAACCGTCCTCGCTTTACAACAACAGGTACACAACAACAATGCAAATATGCATTTAGCAGTAATACCAATTGTATTAAAACATAAATTGTTATGTATGGAAAAAAATTGTTATGTACGAATTAGTTCCTTAAAACATATGCACAGACTGTATATAGTGTTTGTGGTGACAGGTGGCGGCTTTGCAGACAGAGTTAGCAATGGTGCAAAATCAGCTGATAAACAATAGACTAATAGTGGCAAATGCTATTCAGAATTCACAACAGCAATTGGAACCCATTCATCATCTTTCATTGTTGCAGCCTGCGTATTCGAATGCTTCTTCTGCTTCGAACAACAATATACTTAACATGAACAGCTTTGACTCTAGCTTGAATAATCTTGGAGATGATCATCAAAGTGGGACACTTTCACAGAGTTTTAATCCTCTGCAACTATGTCAACCTTGTCATGATGAGGAAGATGATGATGAGGAAGAAAGTGGGGACCCTTTGGCCTTTGCCAATCAAATTCTCCAATCACGATGATTATTGATTTTATTTTTCAAAGTGGTCTGAACAATGATTATGAAATTATGACTTTATGTTTGCATTTTCAGAAAATGGAATAAAAATAAAATGAATATATGTTTAATGTGGTTTTGTTTCTTTTATACATAATCTAGAAACAATCTTTATACAGATATACAATGCTTCATACATCATTTACCCATTCAACCACTTTATCCATAAAAAAAATACCTAAATTAAGTTTATATAAGAAAATCATTTGATAATCTTGAAGAATCTGTGATGTTTTCAAGAAAATGTCATACCTTGCTGACATCATGTATGTTCAGAAGGCATGATTCCTGTGCAACAACTGGTGCCACAAAAACACTTTGACCCATTTTCAAGAAAGAGCAATCATTGCACCGAAGAATGAAGTCGTTTAAGAGATTAACGAGCGTTTGTTAAAATTATTTCCAGGAGCCCAACAGGAGTATTTAATTTCAGATAGTCTTTCACATGCAGATTTTGTTCATGATAACATTGATGAAACTTTATACTCCCCTTATGTTCTAAATGGTATTAGACCTTCAGGTATGCCAATTCATAAGTTGGTATTAAAAGTCGGTGTTCCGGTTATGTTACTAAGAAATATTGATCAAAAATCCGGATTGTACAATGGAACAAGACTACGGGTTATTGCATTGGGCAAACGTGTTATAGAAGCTGAGATAATATCTGGAAGTAATATCGGAAACCGTACATTTATTCCAAGAATGTCTTTGACGCCTTCGGATAAAAGGATTCCTTTCATATTTCAAAGACGACAATTCCCGCTGGCTGTATGTTTTGCGATGACAATAAATAAAAGTCAAGGACAGTCACTATCGAAGGTGGGGTTGTTTTTGAAACAACCAATATTCACTTATGGGCAGTTGTATGTTGCATTGTCGAGAGTGAAGAGTAAATATGGATTAAAAATATTAATTTTAGATAAAGATGGTAAACTTACCAATAAGACATCTAATGTTGTATTTAAAGAAGTCTTTGGAAATTTGTAATTTATAAAAGTAAGTCTTAATATTTCAATGTCTGTTCTTATTATTATACATTATCTTACATACTTATTCATCATTTTGTTTTTATATATTTAGCAATTTTTATTTAATTAATGTTTAATGTTTATAACATTATTGTCATCATCATTTTATAAAGACGTACGTTTTTATTTTATTTCTTTATATTTTGAAATAGTTAATTTATTCTTTATATATTTTTGTCTTTATATAAAATTAATACTAAAAAACATGTAATGTTTAACAAAATATATTATTTTTTTTTAAGAAAAAAACCAATGTATTACACCGGTCTCACACCTAGTGTAGCTAATAATTCAAACTATTTGTCCAAGGCTTTACACACTTATTTTTCATCGACTCAATTTACCTCACTCATTAATATAATAGCCTAGGGCAGTCAAGCCACACCTAACACCACATTCACCAGACCAAGAGTGGTTAAACATTCAATTTTTTTTAAATATTTATCTTCTTTCTTGGATTTCTTTAAATACTTTTTTAAATTTGATAATAAAGAAAGCTAGAAAACAATTTCTCTCTCTTATACTACCATCATCAGCATCATACCTTCCTGAAAATTAAAGCAACGACTCTGATTGCAAACTGATGATAGCTTTGATTCCAATTCACAGACCCACCACCACAAGCACAAGCACAAGCACAAGCTCCTCCCTTGTTGTTTCTCAGTTACAAAACCCTTTTTCTTTGTCTGGCAATTTGTTTTTTACCCTTTCTTTTTTGGGGTTTTATTATATTTTTCTGGGTGTTCAAAAACATAGAAGAAGAAGAAGATCTAAACAGCCTTTTTTTCTGGTTTTGATGAGACTGTGTTAAAGATCTGAGCGGCGGAAAAGGGTTGACAAAAATGGTGGGAACGGCTAATGGTAGTAGAACACCAGTTACACCACGACAAGCTTTTTCGGTCGTCAATGGTGGACAAGATCCGGGTACCCGGTCCGGACCCGGAAGCATTGCTGGGTCGGATTGTGGAGGGATTGAGTTTACAAGAGAAGAAGTTGAAGCATTGTTGAATATGAAGATCAGAACTAAAGATAAATTCAATCTCAAGGTTCTTTCTTGTTCTTGTTCTTCTTGTATGAAGTGTGTGTGTTATATTTTTCCCTGTTGGGATCAAATATTATTTTTGTGGATTTTTAGGAAAAATGCGAGATAATGATGGAGTATATAAAGAAGCTCAGGATGTGTGTAAGATGGTTTCAAGAATTTGAAGGGGAGCTTTCATTAGAGCATGAAAAACTCAAAAAGATGTTTGAATCAGCAGAAAAGAAATCCAACGATATGGGTATAAATTTAACCTTAATCTTTCTGTTTTCGATATTTAATCTTACCTTATTTGATTCTATCTTTTATCCAACTGGTTTCCAGAAACGCTCATGAACGCAAAGGAAGAAGAACTATCCGACCACCGCACCACCCTATCCGACACCCTAAACTACATCCTAATGTTAGAAATTCGGGGTAATAAAGACACTTGGTGTTCTGAGAATTGTGATTCCACTTTCAAATCAAAGTATTTGGGTGTTATTTCATAATCTTTGACTGAGTAAGACTGAACAGAGAATGAGATGTATAAATTTCGTGATAGTCAGAAAACTGACAAAAAGTTGGTTAAAAATCTCATTTGACTGAAAACTTTCAAAACTGTTATAAAATAGTTTTTTCAATAGTCAAAACTGTCATAAATTCGGGTTTTCTACAAAGATTAATGCAAAGCTAAAAACAGGTCAAATATTCAAAATTTAGATTTTCTGATGCAGCCAGGGGCTACCGCCCCTTGGACCCCACTCCTAGGGGCGCTGCCCCCGAACCCCGGTTCGTTCAGGGGCTTCGCCCTTAAATGACAGTCTACTTTTAATCTTGAATAAAGTTAAACAAGTGTCCACTCCGCATCTTCTTTACTTGTTTAATATTCATCAAGATTGATTTTTAGTCAACAAGTTAACCCATTACACTTAAATACAATTAGTGAAACAAATCACGAGCACCTATTGTAGTGTTCGTAAGTGTGATACCACCTTCATGTATACTCTCCGACCTTACGTACAAAACTAAATTAAATATACAATACGTATTAATAGAATAGACTTTATATTTTTTCTAGTTTTTAAAAATAAATAAATATTTGTTTGACTTTAGCAAATATTTGATTAGACTTTTAAAAGCATTAAATCAAAGTAATTTAAACTCCCAAATGCTTTTTCTTCAAGTACCACCGGGAAATCTTCAATTTGTTTTATGTTTCGGCAAATGGTTTCCCCTGAAAACACCAATTGGATCTACGAAGACGGATTGATTGATGATATTGTTGTACCTGATGCTAATTACACCGTTCCTGATTCTGGATTCAGTTGGCCAATTCAAGCGACCTTAAACGGTTCTTCATCGAACCCTAGGTACGCTCATATCTTCTTCTGCTTAATATACGTCGCATCAAAAACATTGATATTGCTCATCAAATTTATGAGCTATAATAAACTTTGTCATGTTTTGATGTATGATATGGAGGAACCAAAGTTTTTCCATAGAAAGACTAGGCAGAACTAGAGCATGATTTACCAAAATCGGGGATGTGAGATGTTGCAACTTAATCAAACAACGTATTTAGTGTGGCGTTTATGCTTTTTCTCTTACTTTTGCCTTAATTTTGGTTCGATAGATGCTTCATATAGATTCGTGGATTTGTGGTGACAAAGCTTGGTAATCGTATGAGTATCTTGTAATGGTAGGTGGTTGAGCTTTAATGGCGTTGACCAAATCTGTACTCGTTAACAAGTGTCATTATTTCCATTAATTTGGCTTCTTATTCTGTTGACGTTAGAAGCAATTTATGGGAGATAAAAGGACATTGATCGATGCTTCACAACTCTTTTACTGTTTTCTACATTAATTCACATTTTTTGCTTTTAGTTTGGATCTTGATGGCTCAACTGCGGATTCAGATGATCATAATGATTCCATATCAAAAAGCAGGTAATTATTTCTTCCTTTTTAAGTTCATATGCATGTGTATATACATGTAGTGGTTGCGAAAAGTTTTTTTTTTTTTTTTTTTTAGATTTATAAACAAGATTATTACTTTGATAGGGGAAGGAGGGATAACCGTAGGGGGCGAAGGCCCTCAAATCCTAAAAAATTTCTACAGGTAATAGGCTTAAAGAATGGGTTAAATTCTTTTTTTAATATGGAAGAAAAGAAACCCAAGACTACTTTTATCACCAACCTACAACCTTTTTGTTTTTGTTTTTTTTTTAAACTAACAAATTTTCTCATTCATATATACAACCACCCAAAATCAAATTTTTATCATTTATCAACCAATACAACTAAAAATATATTTGATATGAGAGTTTCATATATACATAAAAAATATATCAATATTATATATTCTATTTATAAGAATTTAAAAATCATGAATTTTGTTTTTTTTTTTATATAATTTTTCAATACATATATATTATTAAATTACATAAATAGTTATTAAACTAAAAAGAAAAAAAATAAAACATAACCAGTCATATATAATATAACCAATTAATCGTCATTTTGATGCATACACATCACAAGGACAAATCAAAAGTAAAAGAAACCTACAAATCAACATCCTTCAGCTCTTCGACTCTCTACTCCGCGTACAAGGCTCAACAAATTGATACACCTCATAGGTACATATCTTCTCCTTAGTTGATTTTTTTGTACAATATGTTATAAAAAATAAGTTTTGTATTGAAATTTTATAAACCATAATATGTGATGTTATAAACCTACAAATCGTCATTCTTATAATTTCCCAATGACTTAGTGAACTTACAGTTATAATCCAGTAAACTATATTTTATATTGGTAAAATTGGATTACTTTGGATTCTAGACCATTTTCATCCAATCGAATCCGATTTCAATCTTACAACTAATCACTAGGCCCCCAACCTAGAAAACCACGGATCCGCTATGTTGCCACAGTGTCCTCTTTATTTTTTCCTCTCATGTATTATAACTCACCATTTTCATTTTAGGTTTCTTAAATTGTCTTCGATGCTTGAGCCTAGAAGGGCACCCACAGTGGAGAAATCCGTTGTTTTGGCCGATGCTGTTCAAATGCTGACTCAATTACGAATAGAAGCACAAAAGCTTAAACATCCCAATTCTGATCTTCAAGATAAAATTAAGGAATGATGAGTATTGTGAATGTAAGAACGATTATGCAACGTCAGATTGAAAGAATCAGTGTTTATGATGAGAATACAAATACTATTTTTTCCATAAAAAATCTATTTATTTTAGAAAAGTTTTGAGGGAAATCTTCAAAAAAGTCCTAAAATTTTACCCTAATTTACGAAAAAGTCCCAAACTAAAATTTGTTTACGAAAAAGCATGAATTACCGGTAAAAATGACGATTTGACCATTTTTTTCCGGTTTACCGGTTTTATTACTTACTTGTTTCACTAAAGTCCCATTATTTTACCCTAATTTGAGAATAAGTCCCAAAATAAAATTTACTGATGATTTGCCCTTTTCTCTATGTAACATACATTTTACCGGTTTCATTGCTGACCCGGACGCCTAGTCACTAAATGAGATGATGAAATGGATATGTTGAGTTATATAATGCTATGTTTACATAAAACTTGATATCCTAATGTATTGTATATCTTTTTGGAACATAAAATGCATCCAACGAAGACTATAATAATTACATAAACTAACAACAACTGCGTTATTTTTTACGTTTATAAGAAATATCAAATTGTCTATCTAATCTTATGTAACCCAATATATCCATCTCATCAGACATCAACTCATTTTCTGCCATTTTTTCTTGGAAACATACATTTTATTGGTTTCACTGCTGACATAGATACATAGTCATAAATGAGCCGATGAGATGGGTATCAAATTTTATAGTAATGTGACATTATATAACGCATCGTATTTATCTTATCAGCTAATTTAATGACTAGGTGTCTAAGTCAGCAATAAAACCGATAAAATGTATGTTACATGAAGAAAATGGCCAAATCATCAGTAAATCTTATTTTGGGACTTATTCGCAAATTAGGGTAAAATAATGGGACTTTAGTGAAACATGTAAGTAATAAAACCGGAAAAAATGGGTCAAATCGCCATTTTTACCGGTAATTCATGTTTTTTCGTAAACAGATTTTAGTTTGGGACTTTTTCGTAAATTAGGGTAAAATTTTAGGACTTTTCTGAAGATTTCCAAGTTTTGATTCTCATCAGAATCATTTGATTATTTCGATCCGAACACTCCAAATTTGTTCTCACATTTACACAATACTCTTCATGTTAATCCAACTTGATATAGGTTGTAATTTGCAAGTAACTTACACCCATGGCTCTTGGTGCTCTAATGTATTGATATTTCAATGTAAAATATGTTAATAAAACTATTGACATAATACACGTTAATAAAAATTACATTGTCATTTTTTGTATTTAACATCATGTAGCACATGTTTCCTGTTATGTATTTTATTTAAGTAATGTTGCATTTTTGGCCTGGGACTCGGCGAGTTGAAGGCCCAACTCGTCGAGTAGAAGCGGGATGAGACGCATGATTTAAGTGATGAACTCGTCGATTCGGGTCCCGGACTCGACGAGTAGGCTCTGTCTGGACAAAACCCTAATCTGAGGGTTTGCACCCTATTTAAACAACCTTATACAGCCTCCATTGTCCCTTTATGCTCCCGGAAACCCTCTATAGAAAACCCTAGCCGTTGTTGAAGCAATCTAAGCCATTTTGGTGGACTTTGGCGTTGATAGTCTTAAGAAGGAAGGAGAAAGGCTTGAGGAAACAAGAGGAGACCAGAGGGGTTCGAGTTTGTGCTTCATTTTCAGTCCTCAGAAGGTATAAAGTTGCTAACTTGCTTGTTCATTTGCTAGATCCCATTTTGTGGAGATTTAGGGCTTTTATAAGCCATTTTAGGTAGCCAACCATGAATGCAAGCGTGGTTGGGGACAAGGCTTCGGATCTAGGTCCTTAAAGGGGTCACAAGGCAGAAAGTGGGTGCTTTTACACCCAAGAAAGACTCCATGCAACCCAAGAGCTTGTTTTAGGACCTTTTGGACTCAAAGTCCCATGCATGCACGTAAAGTTTGTAACTTTACGTGCTAGAACGATTGTAGGAGCCCAGATCTATCTTTTGGTCATGAGTTGTACATCAGAAATCGAGGATTTAGGGTGTGGACGTTACCGACTCGGCGAGTCCAAGGCTTTGAGTCCCATATCTGTTGAGGGTCAAAAGGACTCAGTTGGGTGCTAGTAGGGTTGTAGCAGGACATAAAGAGTGACCCAACGCATTGGACTTCATTTTAGACCTGGAGTTCATGGGACTCGACGAGTGCTAGAACAGACTCGGCGAGTCCAAGGCAATCTTCCAACCCTTGAAGATGAACTCGACGAGTTGTTCATACAACTCGGCGAGTCGAGGACAGGACGTGTTCTTAGGATGAAGACGGACTCGACGAGTGTTCATACTGCTCGGCGAGTCGGATGAAGGTTCATATGAGGTTGTGTTAGAAGGAGAACTCGTCGAGTCATTGCTAAACTCGACGAGTAGGGACGTGGAGAAGGACAGTTGAAGAGATAGGGACTCGACGAGTTGACGACCCAACTCGGCGAGTCGGGTCAACTGGAAGTTGACTTTGACTTTGACCTTGACTTTGACTTGGACTTGGTCTGGGGTAAAATAGTCATTTTACCCTAAGGGTAGATATCAGGATTCTGATTAAGTGTTTTGTGGGGATTATAGCCGGAGGACTTTCGGAGCAGCAGCAGTCAGAGATTCCCCCGCACAGATATTCAGCAGCTACTCGTTTGAGGTGAGTTACCTTCCAGTAGCGGTGGGTCTACGGCCACAATGCCGGCCCACCAGTAGGAGTTGTATGTTAGGTGATTGTCTTTGTGATATCATCTAGTTTTGCTATTACCTGATATGTTATATGCTGGCATGATATGTTATATGTGATAGTAGTAGAGTTCGGTTGTTAGGACCGAAGGGTAGGTCAGACACCCCATATATGTCTGACAGTATGTGATGATATGTTTATATGCTGGCATGATATGTTATATGGGATAGTGGTAGTAGGAGGGGAATAGTCCCCAAGTTCGGTTGTTAGGACCGACGGGTAGGTCAGCACCCCAGAATGGCTTGACATGGGTAGGTCAGCACCCCAGAATGGCTTGACACGGGTAGGTCGGCACCCCAGAATGGCCGTATCGGGTAGGTCGGGCACCCCAAAATTGCCCGGCAGTATGTATGCTATGTGTTGTATGGTATGCGGTACGATGGGGGAGCTCACTAAGCTTTGTGCTTACAGTTTTCAGTTTTGTTTCAGGTACCTCTTCATCGAAGGGGAATGAGCCGGTGCGGTAGCTGCACATCATACACACACCCCAGATTCCGCATTATGAGTTTCCTTGGGATTGTGCTCTGACATTATCACTATTTATGATTTGGATTTTCAGACATTATACATAGTTTTATGAGATGTTATGATTTGACAATGTTTTCCTCCGAATGTTTTAATTAAAGTAATTTATAAAAAAAATGAAGTTTTTGGGCGTGAAAATTGGGCTGTTACACATCAATACAAATTGACTAAAATTACTTTGAAATTGAATTTCTTGTAAAATAAGTTAAAAAAAGCATATTGATACAAATACACATATTATGTTCCTCTTGAAGAAGTTGAGCAGTATGCTCATTTGGTTGGGAGTTAAGCTGGTAGATTCCCTTCTACTTACTTGGGCTTCCCGTGGGACAGAATATCTCCAGAGTGATTGGTTGGAAAACGATTAAGGATAAATTCTTGAAAAAATTATCTTCCTGGAAAGTCTCTACACTTTCCATTGGGGGAGGTCGTTACTTTTGAAATCGGTCTTGGGATCTATGAGTATGTTTTTTATGAAGCTAAGGAATTGAAAGCTCTTAGAAGTCAATTTTTTTGAGGTGGCACTAATAATAATCGAAAATTGCATTGGATAGCTTGGGATCAAGTGTTGGCGGATAAGAAACATGGTGGATTGGATATTGGAAGCTTGGTTTCCTTAAATTTTTCTTTACTTCTAAAATGACGATAACGGTTTTATACAGAACAAAATGCTCTTTGGGTTTAAGTCATTAAACAATTATATGGTGAAACCGAAGGATTTGATCAATCTAAATGTACTTGGAGTGGTGGCGGTCCATGGGCTAGAATTCTTGCTTCATGTTTTCGGCTTCATGGAAAATGTGTGGCGGTGAACTCAATACAGAGGATTGTGGGAAATGGAAGGAATACTCTTTTTTTTGGAAGGAAACTTGGATGAGTGATAGTACTTTAGATAAACGTTTTCCTAGAGTTTTTCAACTTGATCTTGAAAAAGATTGTACTATTGAAAACCGTATGAAAGATGGAGGGTTGTGTTGGAATTGGAGACGTCCTTTAAGAGGTGGTATCGAAATGCTACAGTACACGAGGTTATAAGGAAGGTCAATATCTTGATTTGGCGGGTTTTGAGAAATAAAATTCCCATGTTACTCAGTCTCTCAAAATTGGGGTTAGAAGTTTCTTCGATTATGTGTCATATTTGCGAATTGGAGGTTGGAAATTTAGAACATTTGTTTCTTAAATGAGAGGTAGTTGCACGAACTTGGAATGCAATTATCAAATGGTTGGATATCTCTCTTTCTCAAGCAAGATCCATTACTGAAACATTTGTGTTGATCGACCTAATGCCTATCTCTGCAAAAAAAAAAAAAAAAAGCTTGGTGGATGCGATTACGTGTACTACCATTTGGTATATTTGGAGTTTTAGAAATGATAAAGTTTTTTCGGGTGGTACGATGAAACAAAGTGAGATTGTTGATTCTATTCATCAATTTTCCATTAATTGGTATGTCAATAGGAATTCCTAAATGTAATATAAATAGACTTAGTTGTGTTAAAAACCCTCTGAACTCTTCATAATATTCGTTCTAGCTATTGCTAGTTCGTTTTCTCTCTTTTTATTAATGGTTGGTTGCTTCAAAAAAATTGTTTGTATTTAACATCAATACAAATTGATTGAAATTACTTTGAAATTACATTTCTTGTGTAACATCTAGAAAATCCATGAAAAAAAATTTCATTTTTAAAACATTAATCCATACAACAATTTGTTCCCAAAAAACATTCAAGGTGAAAAATAATATTTAAACATCAAAGTAAAGGTCATAAACAGCTACTGCGAAATAAA